GCTACCGCTGCTGCTTCTGCTACTGGCCACTTGCTACTGTACTTGCTACCTACTACTCCTGTACTACCCCAATACTACTCCTACTACTCCTATACTGCTTCGACGACTCGTAATCCTACTTCTCTTACTGCTCCTGCTCCTCCAACTCCTCCTGCGCTGCTCTGCTTTGCCATAAAACCCGCGACAAAACCATGAGCAAGCAGAGTTGGACAGCCAAGGCCCGGACATCCGCCGCAGACAGCGGCCATGCCGAGACAAAGGCCACAGCGGCGAGGGACTGTGACTGTCTTTTCATCGCCATTCTGCTCCAGGAGGCGGCCACATCGGGTCTGAATGCCAAGTCTGACTGGTGTCCAACAGGAGCTACGCCAACACTTGCTTTCTATGTCGGAACGCGGAAAACCGCGGCTGGCCTTGAAAGTGAAAGAAGGCTACGGCCAAACAACAGGGCACTCAAGCGAGGTGCAGGCACTGCGGAAGCTCCGTAGAGATCAAGCATCCTGGATTTAAGACCAAAGCATCTCACAACGCTTCTAATTTACTTGACAGACTGCGCTGGGGCTGGAGGGCGGGGATGAAATTCAAGCGAGCACCTGGACCCCTTTGCAGGTATAGCTGGCTCTGTCTCTGGGCTTGTCTCCTGCGTGGTTGCTTTGCAAGCTCCGTTAGACCACGCATATGACCTGTCAGTGAATACCTGTACTTGCTGCATGTCTTCAGCACAACGAAGACTTCGAGAACAACGTTGACCTCACACTACGATGAGTTTAGTTAGGCACGACCGATAAGTAGAATCGCTCGGTGAATCTCCGGTCCAGCAAAGGTACCGTGCTCATGGCAAAGAGAAGTGTGAAAGAGAGAGACAGAGAGAGCTTCTCGGACCTCCGCTCAGCCACAGCCAAAATGACCGGCAAAGTGGGCAGTCAATGGATCCCGTGTGGGTGGACGACCGACACCCCATATACCGCCGCCGTGACGATAAGAGCTCCTCATCGTTGGTTTGATGTTTTAGCTGCCATCCTGTACTCTAACCTGCCTTACCCACGTCAGTGTTTTGCGAGGCTGCTTCGCTTCATTTTGCGAGACAGGATACGGTCACCCCGCGAACTCCTGGTCGGTGCGTTTACAATGCAGGAGGCGTGAAGCCGCCAAGAAGAACTCGATGAAATTCAAGCAGAGGAATTCACGAATCTGCATGCTGGAGAATTTGCCAATTCGGGAATTCAAACCTGCTCGTCGTCGTCGCTTGGTTTCGCAGCTGGGATAGCGAACTTGAGCTTACGTGGTTGCGAAATCAGCAGGCGGGTGGGGAATTTTGCCCTCCAGATCGAAATCGTTTGAACATTTTGAACCCATGGCATGAGTGGAGCTTCGGTCGGTAAATTGCTGAAGGAGCCCTTTCAGCAAGTTGTCTTGCGCAACAGCTTAAGCCCGCTGCTGTGAGGATGCTTTTGCTTTGCTGCGGCACTAGAGTGCATTTGTTGTTATATGCCTAGGGGATCTTAGGGGTGGTATCCTTTGGGTAGGTATTGGGTGTGCATGGTTCTGGAGTTGCACTCGGGTGACTGCTGTAGTGGGGTTGTCGGTCGTGAGTAGTTGGAGGTGGTCTCCTTTTGAAACAATTTATTGGATGTTGGCTTTGTGTTGGATGTAGAAGTGATGTAGACTTAGTTAGATCTTGCTTGGCATGTTGCGGCATGTTTGTCGTTTGCTTGAGCTGGGGCAGGGCGGGCAGGGCTCGCCGGATCCGCGACTACTGGGAAATCTAGGCTAATTACATTGTGTGGCTAGTTGTGGTATTGGCTTTGGTGGGACAGCTGATGCCTGCCATCTTACCTGGTCGCGACAAGCGAGCGAACCTCAACCCTGTAGGACGAGTACCAAGCGAACACCGTGGCGCCTCGGAAATGTCGGCGGCTTCGAGGCCTGTCACACAAGGCTTCATCCAAGCCATGCTTCGATGTTGCGAAAATTATGCCAACGTGGACCCTAACTGCAGCGCAAAATCCCAGATCTCTTATTTTGCCTCCCACCTTCCCAGATCTCTATTGAACGGCAGTATTTCGAGACCTCCTTAGAAACTCCTGAGGAACCATGAGCCAAAAAACACACACACACACCCCTGCTGGATGTCGAAAGAAACTGAAGCCTAAATTTACACGTACCGTGGCGGGAGCACGACCTCCACCGAAACTTCACGGCCCTGTTGCGGGAGCACGACCTATCAACTTCGTGAGTGCGTGGGTATAAGACTTTACATTAAATCCTTTTTTCCGGTGGAAGAACGCGATATCCGCCGCAAACGCGCGCAGCACCCAAAGCAGGAGCCGCGCAAGCAAGCTCCTGCTGCTGGCACCTCTCGCGCCCAATGAGAAAATCGCGTTTTTCCCCTCAAACTCCCACACTGCTTTGGGGGGAAGAAAGTGCCTGCACTCCTGATCGGGCTGGGCTCCGCAAACTCGTGAGGCGGTGACGGAGCCTTCTCGACCTGGGAACCACTGCAAGGATGTGAAGAAGATTTGTCGTCGAGTGGGTCTTTGCTCGATACACGTCTAGCACGAGACGCGGGCTCTGATCGGGAAGGCATCCGCCATGTGCCTCCGCATCAAGTGCTCATTGAGGTACTGCTCTGACCTGACATCATGCTGAGATGAGCCATAGCTTAAGGCAGACTTGCAGGGCTCGTGAAATCACCAACGATCGCAACTGCAGAAACAACGCCAACAACTGTTTCAATGTGTCATTGTCATAGCCAGTGTCTAAGCTCTCTCCGGGCCATCGGGCTGAAAGCGCTTGGAGCAGTATGTGCACTTTCGAGCCACCGCCTGGGTTGCGTGGAGAACGGGATATATCTGCAGACCCTCTTCGATGTCAGAGTATGGCTGACGAAGACATAGTCAAGAAGACTCCAAACTGATAGTCTCACTTCTGACCTTGAAATACATGCATACACACATGTGTATATATATATGCATGTATATGTCTGTGTGCGCGTGTGATTCTGTGTTCGTGTGCGTGTGCGTGCATGTTTTTTTTTTTGCGTGTGTGTGTGTGTGTGGGTGGGTGTGCGCGCGCGTGTGCGTGCGCGTGTGCGTGCGTGCGCGCGTGCTTGCGTGCGTGTGTATGTATATGTATATATATATATATATATATGTGTGTGTGTGTGTGGGTGTGCGCACGCGTGTGCGTGCGCGTGTGCGTGCGTGCGCGCGTGCTTGCGTGCGTGTGTATGTATATATATATGTGTGTGTGTGTGTGCGCGTGCGTGCACGTGTATGTGTGTGTGTGTGTGTCTGTGCTCGCGACTCCTGTTCCGAAGGATGTAGGATGTACAAGTTTTTGTCAAAGCCGGGGGCAGCAATATGCATTGCGAGTCTCCTGCCAATGAATACACTCTCCTTACATGGTGATCTGTACGTACCCGCACAATGAATGGCAACCAGGCTAAGCCACATACCTGGCAAGTCGACAATGTAGCAGAGAACAAAATGTAACGCTCTAGCACAAACAGCATCTACCTAGGTAAGGATGACTGGTCATGACTGGTCTGCAAGTGTGATTCCCGGCAGTAATTCTGCCAAAGTGCTGTCGGACTCCCGTTCTGTAGGGGGATCTAGGAACATCTGGTACACCCTGACTAATTATATCTGTTCTTACCTGGTGTATGGGCCTTCAGTCCTTGCAGGCCCCACAAGAATGAGGCCCTAATTGCAATGTTTCCCATTGGAACACCACTTCCTTGGTTCAAGTGATGACCTGATATTCCTGGCTGGACAGCTCCTTGAAAGAACCCAGGTTTAGGAGCTTCATTATCATCAAATCATTCAACATTCCTGCATGAGCCTTCAGTCCCTGCAGACCCCACAAGCATGAGGCCCCAATTGCAACGCTTCCCATTGGAACACCACCTCCAGCAACAATAAGTCAAGAGAAGTTGGAGCAGTCATCAGGAAGACCAAACACAATTTTTTTTGCAGCCAAAAGTGATCTCCGTTAGATTAAGCGGCTGCGTCCGGCCCTTTGACAGAATGCTGGTCTGAAAACAGCAGCTAGCGTTTGTTGCATCATTCTCTGTTTGGGGTTCTCGGCTTAGCCCCTCGCCAGCCCCTCGCCAGGACATGTAGTTCCATTCATGGCCTCTTCGTTGGCCATCCACCAACGACAAGAAGGATGCCCCCCCCCTGCATGAAACATACGATCCCTTGGTGCACAGCGTGTGAAACACCCACACACACACATGCCTGTGTGCGCACTCGCCGCGCCGCGCGCTTCTTTAGAGCGAGGGCTGGATGTCAATAACACAAGTGAATCTACAGGGTTATTTATAGTTCTTTGTGTGTTACCAGCCTGAAGAAGCGGCAACTTCCGTGGGAACATGGCTCATCTTAACAACCGAAAGCGTATTGCAACAACAGCAACAACAACAAGAAGAAGAACATGCAGCCGAAGCCTCACAGAAGCTTCTGGTTCTGTAACCTCTGAGCCTGTAGATGCCTGTAGCCGCTCCGAGGTGTTGACACCCACAGGAGGCCCACGAGATTCCCTGGGAGAGTTGCGCCGCGGCCTGTTTGGGCTTCGAACTGTCAGTGCGGGACTCTTAGTTTGAGGATCTGAGACGGACGTACATAGATATTCCTGTCAGGCTGAGGGCTCAGAACGAGGCTGGGAGTTGAGGCGACCGGGGGAATTGCAGGGTTGACTTGACAAACCCAAACCCTGCCGGTCTCCTGCTGCGTCGGCGGCCAGCATCGCTGGCCTTCAACTGCGCCGCCTGACGCGCTCTGGACGTGATGGCGTTGCTGCGAGCAGGGGGGCTCTGACACACTTCGAGCCATCTTCGAGCATCCCACCTGGATGCGAACGCGCTCGGAGAGGCCCTGGACTCCGCAGGCAGAGACTGCACGTCTACCGTATATCATATGATTCAGAAAACCCATCGTGAGGCCGTGTAAAGTCTGCGACAGCGAAAGCCCTTGTTGAGCTTTGGTCCGCCTGGATAAGTTGCTGTGAGGATGCGCACATCGAGTTCAGGTACTCCATACACAGCTGTGCCAGCTGCACGACCTGACACAGTCTACCCGTCCGGTGCTGTACTACTAGGTCAGAGCAGGATTACGGATTCGGACTCCGAGCCGGATCGAAGAATGGGGATTTAGCTGACAGCGTGGTGTCACTAACATTGCGTAGTGGAACCTGAGCTGCTGAAGTCGCGCCTTGATGAGGCCATCATCACTGGTGACCTCCAAATCCTCGCGGCTGAAACGAGAGTAGGTGATGTTGTCAAGGTACGCCTCGCAAGCATCTCACAGAGTCTCACCACAAGACAAGCCGTGAGATTGGGTTGCAGCCATTTCTTTCATGCCATTTTCTTTCTACGAGACAAAGCGATTTGGAGCAGTCGGCTTCGGCATCTTCAACGGGCGAACAATTCGGACCAGCAGGTTGCTTGTGTGTGAATCCCTCGGCCTGAATCGTGTCAATATCACCTTCACGAACTACTCTGTCGAGGTCCAGAGAGTGCAGGAGCCTCCAGTTAATACCTGGACCAGCAAGAGACCGCGAGTGTTCAGTGCAGTCTGCTGCGCCTGTGCGGGTGCTGAGGTGGGCACGTCCTGTACGAGGTCGGAAGATGAACTTCGGGAAAGACCTGAAAATCACACGCTGGTGTCAGTGGCAGAATCAAACCCGTCGACGGACCGATTTTCCATCTTGGCCAGAACGACCCCGGCTGTCTCTTCAAGCTGAGGCCCCTGGCGTGAACTTGTGCCCGAGGTTCGGATAAGCGCCTGGATCGAAAGCGCACAAATGCTGCCTGGCCGGTGACAACGGTTTGGGGCTCAAGCCTTCTGCATCCTTCAGCAACTCGTCAGCGGCAGGCAGCACCTCTTCAAACAATTGTGGACGATTTCGTCCACCAATTGATGGTCGCAGTCAAAAGCTTTAGCTCAGGCACAGTCCGCAGCAGCCCAACCCCCGAGGTCAACGGGTGACCTGCACACACTCAGAATATTAGGACATGGCCTTGCGAGAGGATGGAAAGCAAAAAAGGCGCTTTTTGGAATGTTCGACCATGCTGATGCTGTGCAGTGTAGGACCAGGAAGCCCTGCTTTCTCCGCAAAGCTTCTCTTCGGGTCGAGAACCGGGCTGTGAGCATGGTGGAGTAAGGCGCCGCAGCTCTACGTCATCCTTCAAATTTTGAAATCGGCCGAAACGTCAATTGGGGGCGGGCAATCTTTGCCCCTAACTAACACAATGCCCGATCATGGCATAGAGGGCCGAGTCGCACACTGGTGGATGGATCACTTGAATCTCGGTAGAATTGCCGCAAGCGTCGCTCCAATGTTGTCCATCCGTCATCCGGCGCACTTCCCTGCACCGCCGAATCCAGGAAATTAATTTGAGGATGTTAGAAGGCTTTGGACGGGCCTTTTTCCAGGAGCAGGTATTGAAGTCAAGTTCGCGGTGTTCGACGATGTTCTTGGTGAATTCCGAGCATGGGCCCACTGATCACCTCTTCGTGGCCCGAAGTCTTGGTTCCGGATTCCGAGCTTCCACCATCTGATGAGAGCATCAACGAAGCCAATGCTGCCCGATCGGCTCCAAAGGAGTCCATGGTGAGAACCAACTCTTGCGGTGGAGTAAATTCCGCTGACATCAGACATGACACATGTCGTTGCCGTGCTCGCCCGAATACTGCTATATTAGTAAGAGAGTCCGAGCATCGCCGGGTTGTCTTCGTTCAAGACCCGGACAGGTTAGGTCGCCGAGCTCTGCGATGACTGGCCGGCTGCATCATCGGCAGCCTGGAGGTAAGCATCGCGATCAGATGTCACGCCCAAAGCGAAGTCGTTGGATGCCTTGAGGAACTTTGCCAGGTTGCGGCCGGTGTAAACTACCGCGTCCCGCTCCTCGACAGAGAAAGCCCGGAAGCCGTGCAGCTTGAACAGCAAAGAGAAGGCAGTCTGATCGTCGTTGTTGTTTCGAAACGATGGATACTCAGGATAGCCCAGAATAGATGGCTCTTCGGTCATAATTCGTCGGTCCTCACAAGCGGCCAGCCACCTCTCAAGGAAAGATACTGCCAAGCGTGTTTTTCGTACCAGGATGATACCAGTTGCAATCTGATTCGTCTCCATGATGCTGGGAAAATCAGCATCCAGCAGGACAAAGGCATCTCGCTTGGAAAAGTCCCCCTCGTTCATCGGGGTCCTGGTCGCAGCAAAAAGGCAATGTCACTGCAATGTCGCTCAGAATCCAAGTCTTATACTGCTAGTTACTGCTAGTTGCTAGTTTCAATCGCACAGGTTCTTCTGGTCCTTGTCGCCGCAACATCCGAGTCCCGTAAAAACTCCTGAGTGAGCGGCCGCATGTCGCCTCGGGGTAAAGGGTACAGACGAGGTCATCGTGGGACGGAAACGAGCACCTATCCTGCCTATCCTGTGAGCAGCAAGTCACTGACAAAATGAATTCCTGCATCTGTCCAGACCACAACTGTCGTCTCCCATGGCAGTGATGGATCAAGTACAGTTCGGAGTACGACATAAGGCTTCCTGGATCATTGGTCACATGCACTCATAACAGGTGGCCTACAGTCTCTCAGAAAAAAACCTTCCCGCGGGGCCAGGCGTCCACACATAATACCCAACTTTGCCCGACGGAGTCTTGTGTTGAGTTAGCTCCGGTGTGCGGTTGAACTTCAGCAGAACCTGCCATGATTTTTATTCCCTGCTGGAAGAGCTCTCCATGATCGAGCCTCGTTCTTCCGCCGGAAAGCATCGTCCAAAAAATCACCTGCAACATTCTCGCAAAGAGATCTCTTTCCTGCCACCATTTGCGGTGTGCTACACATGAACTACACTACAGCACGCGGAGGAAGGTGCTATCTACAGTCGATCGATATATGATATATGATCCCAGTGTGTCCGCCTCCCCTGTGGTGTGGTACTCCCGCCCACCCCCTCTGTATCCCTCTGTAGTGTCGTTGTCCCTGCCGCCCGGCCCTACTGGTCTCCTCCTCCTCCTCCGTATCATCATCAGCAGCAACAACATCAGCAGCATCCGAGAGTCTTTACATCATCATCATCATCATCGTCATCATCATCATCATCAGCAGTGGTTCGGGGTTTGGGTTTGCTTGGGGTGCCTACCCCCTCTCCCAAGGCGGCGTGGTGTGGTTCGGGATTGGGGCTGCGGTGTGTAGTTGGGGTATGCGTCTGCTTGCGGGGTTGGTGTCATGATCATGATCATCATCATCCCCATCATCAGCATCATAATCATCATCCTGTCTCTTTCTTGGGTCAACTGTCGCGGGAACCGGGGGCCGGTCAATAAACGCGATCCTCGTGACAGTTGCAGCTTTNNGGGGGGGGGGGGGGGGGTCGCCGAGAACTGGATCGATATGTTCGGGCGGGCATGCAAAACAGCACGCCCGGCGGGGTGCCTCGCAGCGGCCGGCTCTCCGAGGCACCGAAGCGCAGCGCCGACTCGGAGCTTTGAGCCTCCGAGCGACTGCGAGCGATGGTAAGCCGCACTCTTGGACCGCACTCACCTGCTCCCGCTCACAGCAGCCATCCGCAAAGTTCACATGAACGATCCGCTTTGCGGGAGTTGCATTGCAGCCTCCAGGGAACAAGCGAGATTTCCCACGCCATCTGTTTATCTGCGAATGTAGACGTGCCTAGGTCATGGCAGACCTTCACGAAGCTCCACTCCTTAGTGCACTGCGGAACTTTGAAACAATCAACTATTAACGACTGCCAGACAACAACAGCCTCAATCTTGGCCGGATCTCCTCGGCCGGCGATGGTGCTAGGAAGGGCGAGCCCTTCCGAAGTGTGCAGCTCTCCCTGTCGCCATCGGCAGCTTCACAGGTGATGCCTTTGCCTTAGTATGACAGGCCACGGTTCTTCAGCTTGGGGACGACCTGTTGGTAACTGGCATGCACCAAGTCTAACTGTCGATCCAAACTACAGGCTCTGCCAAGGTGAAGGCACTTGCAAAGCGCAGTCTCCACTTTCTGGAACTCCTTGGTTGGATTCTTCTCAGCTTTGCCTGAGAGCCTTCGATCTCTGCTTGACAGAAGCTGTTTGTGCAGTCTTTCCGCCCAGAATCCTCGGCAGAATCAGCAAAGCCGCCCAAATATGCCTCTTGCGCCTGTGCGGGAGCTTGTGGGAGCCGAACACTTCCAAATTCCAAGCATGCCTTCACCCCACCTAGCAGCATCCTGACTTATCTTGACAGAATCCCACCCTCAAGGCGATCCAACTGTTATCAGACCCAGCCGCGTAGTGCCAGGAACATGGCTCTTCTGCCGAGCCCTCTTCATGACGGCGGTAGGAACCTGATCACCAGATTTAGAGGCGTCTCGGGCTATGTTGTGTAAGAGGAATAGGACAAAGTGCTCATGCGACTGCAAGAGGGTCGAGACTATCGTTGCTGCCGTGCTGCGGTCTGTCGCCCTTCTTGGAGATATGGTCTTCCGCGCATTCCATAAAATCTGATGGATCTCTTGCGAATTCCCTGTCCGCAGAGTTTCCTGCAGAAAGCCAGGCCATGCTGAGAAAACGTTTGGCAATGCAACACAGTTGTGAGAAAGGCATCCGGTGCAACCAAGTTTCCAGCAAATACAAGCGGTCGGTTTCCGGTAGGAAGCCACTGATTTCGAAGGAGGCAACACTCTCGAACTCGCCGAACCAGCCCTCGCTGCTTACAAACTTTTGCTCTGCGTCCAGCTCGCCCAAGACAATGCGAGGTATGCCCTGGGCAGGTTTACCGTGACTCGCTCGCCTGTCCTCTTCATAGCCTAAACGGCCTAAACCCGTTTCTGTGGGATTGTTCGCCCTATTTGTGTATAACCTGTGTAACTTGTGTATGTAGGTATGTATGTGTGTATGTATGTATGCAGGTACGTACACACAGCAAACACGCACAACTATCGTCGTCGTCAGCACTGGTGTAACTAGTGTCTGTGATGCTGTTTTTTTGTTGCTGTTGCTGTTGCAGTTGTTGCTGTTGCTCTGGCACTCGTTCTCATTATCGCTCTCTTTCTGGTTACTTGAAAGCTTGTTCTTGCTATTGTTCCTGTCATTGTTCTTGATGTTCTTGGGTTCTTGATGTTGTTCTGTTTGCCTGTTTGCTTATTTGGTTGTTTGTTTGTGTGCTTGTGTGGTGTGTTTGTTTTGCGTGTTTTGATTGCTTGGTTTGTTGGTTGTTTGTTTGGCCGGTTATGTGCTTGTTTGATTGCTGGTTTGCTTGGTTGCTTGGTTGCTTGGTTGGTTGGCTGCTTGCTTGCTTGCTTGCTTGGTTGCTTGCTTGCTTGCTTGCTTGCTTGCTTGCTTGGTTGCTTGGTCGCTTGCTTGCTTGCTTGCTTGCTTGCTTGGTTGCTTGCTTGCTTGCTTGGTTGCTTGCTTGCTTGCTTGCTTGCTTGCTTGCTTGGTTGCTTGCTTGCTTGCTTGCTTGCTTGCTTGCTTGCTTGCTTGTTGTGTTTGTGTGTTTGCTTGCTTGC